TGAAAACCATTAAACCACAGATAAAGTAATAAAATCTCTAAAAATATAACACGAAGTTGATTCATTAAACCAAAACCACATTTGACGGCGTCAATGAAAAAAATGAATTTAGAACTCGTTGTTGCTCTTACTTTCAATTTACTAATGACGTATACATACAGCCTTGGCCAAAAGTATTAGGCAGCCCAGTAATTACAGAATTTTTCGTTTTAACAAGTGAAGTAATGAAATTTTATTAGTAAAACAGTGAAAATACCATGAATTGGTGAAAAAAAATTAATATTTAGTAGGTCCGCCCTTCGATTTAATAACGGCAGCGATTCTTTTAGGCATGCTGCGTTCAAGCTTTGCACATTCGTCCGCACTTGTAGCGTTCCACTCGTTAATTACGGCATTCTTTAAGGCCGTTCTTGATGTTATACCGTGCTCCTTAATCTTGAATAAGCCATATGTGCTCAATGGGATTAAGATCTGCAGACTATGCAGGCCCATCAAACAAAACAATGTTGTTATCTCTAAACCAACGCATCGAACTCGCTGATTTGTGGCAGGGAGCATTGTCTTGCTGAAATTGCACCCCGTCTAAATTACAGAAGAACAGCTTCTAATACATTTATGTACTTTTGACTGTCCATGCGACTCTCGCAAACGAACATTTCGCCGGCATCATCAGCAGCCATGCAGCCCGAGGTCATAATGCTTCCTCCTCCATGCTTAACCGTGGGTATCACGCAATCTGGATGATATTCTTCCCCAACCCGTCGACTCACGAACGTCACACCAGGTGTTTTAAATATCTGTAGAAAACAAGTAAAAATCAAAATTGCCCTAGGGTAAGAAGTTATGGCTGTTAATACTTTAAGACGATCTTAACTGAGCTTACCTCGAAGTTTGATTCATCAGACCACAGAAAATTCGACCAATCTTCTTGCGTGAAATGTTGGTATCGGCGAGCCCATTCCAAAAGATTTTTCCTATTCTTTTCTGAGAGCCACGGCTTCTTTCGGGCTTTAAATCCTTTTAAACCTGCTTCCAGAAGTCTTCTTCTAGCTGTTTGAGCACGAACTGGTTTAGTAAATTCATTCGAAAGGGCAGCTTCGACGGTAGTAGAAGAATTTTTTCGATCCTTGTGAGACTAGAGTATAAGTATTCGGTCTTCAAGTTTACTGGTTAGACGCTTTCTTTCACTTTTTCATTGATTATTGTGGGATTTCGGCTCCACAAATCGCCTGATAGCACATTGAACCGCGCACCGCGTACATCCCACCAAATTGGCAATGTCAACCTGGGACTTACCTTTTTCACTTAGAACTTGAATTCTAACTCTATCATCGTAACTAATTTCACTGTTTGTTGGCATTTCGCTAAATATGAACTGTTCTTATAAAATTGGTAACTTTTCACTAAATTTATTTTACACTTTCACTTTCAAATTTTAAATGCGAAAATATTTTATGAATTTTTTGAAAATGATAATTTTTAGGTTTAGCCTACCCAGACTGCTATGACTTTTAATATTACACAATTTATTCGTTTAATCAACAGTTAAACACTCATGAAGACATTTACAAAAAGAAGTGGTAACTTTGATAGCCACATTTGAGAATACTTGAATTTTAGTGCGGTGCCTAATACTTTTGGCCAAGACTGTAAATGTACTTATATAAATTATGTCACACTATAAATTTATATTGTACCATTTATTTAAAACATTAATTATGGTTCAATAACAAGAAAACAAGGGCTGATTTCGAGATCTGAATTCAACGTTGTCCTTAACTGGTTGGACCAGAGGCCAAACTGTTCGAAAAAAATTTATTTACAGTAGAAGATGGAACCATATATCTGGCGCTTTGTAACCACTTAAGCGATTTTCGACCAAGATCCTTCTCAAATTTGTGGTTTTGCGTCTTGATGTTTCTCCCACAAATGGAGGGACCTACAGTTTATATTAAGCCGACTCCGAACGGCTGATGGATTTTTTATGAGGAGCTTTATTTTATATCAGAAATACACTCGGAGGGGTTGACATTCCCTGCCGAGGAGCGACCGCAATTAAACAATTTAACTTAATTTTTTATTTAGATTAAATTTCCATAACTTTTGGATGTTATTGGCACTGGTATATACCGACTTAATTTAGCGAATGAATGCCATCCGAATGGATAAAGTCATCCAGCTTTGAAGACATGCGATGAAGTACTCGCTGGTGGAAGCAGAGGGAAAATAAGACCTCCTCTGCCTTGGAAGGATCTGGTGGAGGTCAACCTGGTTTCACTTCGTACTTCCAGCTGACGCAAAATAGCGAAGAGAAGGAAGAGAGTGCGTGCTATTGTTGATTCGGCTATAATCGCGTAAGCGGTGCCTACGCCAATGAAGAATAACAATAAGATATATGTATGTATATCTATAAATTATATTTCATCGCATCGAGTTTTTTCACAATTAACTGTCAAAGAACCATTCAAATTCATTAAAACTCTTATATGGACTTATATACAATACATAAATATTAGTTGACCGAACGGGCTAATAAATAAATGAGAACTCAACGGAAATCTAACACCAACTTAATTATGCAAGCGCTGAGCTATAAATAGATTTGTATACCTAATCGTTTTAGAAAGGTGAATATTTTAATTATTTTTTATTTCTCTAATTTAATTAAATAAAATGTAGCGAACTTGAAATCGCCGAAAAACTAAAAAGCAAAATACAATAAATTTTTTATTTTTACTTATTTAGCCTTAATTGGTTAATTCTTAAACTAATGTAAATATAACCCACTATTTTTAAATTAAGAATTATAATTAAGAATTAAGAATTATACGCGGCGTTGACTCAAAATATCAATCGTTTACGAAGTTAAGCGAGACAGCAACCCGAAGGGCAAATTTGAATTTGGGGCGGGTATAGATGAGGAATATTTTGGACACTCACCCGATAGCTATAAAGTTGCATCTTATAATTATTATTTTCAAACACTGCGGTTTTCGAAAGACTTTTAAGTCCAACAAGTGGCATTGGAAGCCGACACTTTCGCTTTCCACTTCTAACTTCCGCTTCACATGCCGCCGAGAGAAATACAATACTTTAGCAATAATCAAGTGGTTAGCAGGGTGTAGTACCATTCGGAGGGCCAGGGTCGAAAAATGATATAAAATAAAATAAAATAAATTCATTGGCCGTAAGCCTCTACTGCAGTTACAAAGCGCCAAATCTACCCACAAATATAATTATTTCGACAAGATCGGTTCAAGGTTCACTTCCCGGAAGGAAAAGTAGTAAGTGTGCATGAAATTTTAAGTAAATCGACCCATAGAGAAGACTGTTTCATATAAATTGGTCCCTGGTTCATTTCCAAATTATAAATATATTTAGAGTTCGCTTGTATTCACACACATAATTTCATGAAACTCGGTCAAGCCGCTTAAAGGATGTTCAATTGGAAACCCTCGCTCTGAAGTTTTTAAAACAAAATTTTAAAAAAATTTTAGAGGAGTCAAGTTCATGAAGACAGCGTCTTAATTATCTGATGCAAAGTCAACCAAGAGACCTTACATAATGAGGAGCAGTTCTTTGTGCTCATGGCATGTGATACCACTAGAACTAAAGTTCCCTCACACTATTATGTCCTCTCTGAGCCACCCGGTGGATTTAATAAAGGTAATTAAATAAAATAGTTTATATGAGCAACTTCGGAAAGAAACCCGATGCAGATAGTTGCGAGTCCCTGTACAAAGCTGTACACCTGAATATATGATGTTGTATCGTTTCTTCTTCTTCTACCTGCTGGCAACTTCTGCGGAAGTCTTTATATGATGCAACCAGTCTACCGACAAGTTCTTGCATATTTTTTTTTTACATTTTAATAATCTGCATGGGCAGCACACATTCTATTCTGGCCACGTTAGTTTGCTTAATGAGCAAGTCAGTGAATGTTTCTAACGGTAATCAGCTATCTCCTTGATATGTTTACAAATTAAATATTAGCAAGTAGCCAGAAATGACTCTTTATCTGGGTCTTATTGCCAGTTGGTGCCTAATCTAACTAGCAATATCTGCTTCACAGTTGCCCAGTATATCCATGTGTACGGGAACCCATTGCAGATTAATTGTGTAATACAATACTAGCCCTACCAGCAGATCAAGACATTATTTCACTATCTTTGAGCTGACCATGAAGGGCTTTGGTAGTTTCATAGCCGATTGGCTAGGTAATGAAGTAAACTCAGGCGCAAACGGTCGTGGTGAAAGCTCTGGGAAGTGGCCCCGACGGTGGTCAAGACCGGACGGCCAGGAAGGTTTTGTAGTGTGTACTACGAGCTGCTCCCCTATGGCCCAACGCTCAATTCGGCTCTCTACTGCCAACAAAAGGACTGTTTGAAGGCAGCACTCATCCAGAAGAGGCCATCTTTGATCGACAGAGGCCGAATTGTGTTCCATCACGACAACGCCAGGCTACACAGGTCACACAGGTCTTTGGTGACGCGCCAGAAGCTCCAGGAGCTCGAATGGGAGGTCCTAATGCACCCACCTTCTAGTCCGGACCTGGCACTAAGTGAATATCATCTTTTCCTGTCCATGGCGAACGCGGTTAATGGTGAGAAGTTGGTCTCAAGAGAGGCCTGTGAAAATTGGGTCTCCGAGTTTTTTGCCAATAGCTACGCAGCCTTCTACGAGAGGGGCATAATGAAGTTTGGATCTCGGCGTCAACAAGTTTACGAACAAAACAGCGCATATTTGACTTAAATCGGACAAATGTACACAAAATATTGTGAAAAATCAATAAAAAACCGAATGAACTTTTTACTTGACCTTATATATAAGTTTGAAAAAGAAACACGCTGAACCATTTCAGCCGACGCTTGGAGAGAGTTACAAAAAATTTAGGCTGCAAGAGATGACCTTATTTCCAGCAGTAATAGAAGATATGTTGAGAAAAAAGGAGGTATGGGGAATGCGATGTCCATATCAAAAAAAAAAGAAACACAATCAAAGAATTATTCAAATTTTAACTTTTTAATTACAAATATTGCTTGCTTTAATTAGTGTAACCCAATTCCTTGGCTTTATTCACCAATGCTATAACCGCATCCAGAGTTTCTTCAGCGGCGGGAATAATCTTATCAGCTGGTAGTCTGAAACCAGTAAAGTAAGCATTTGGACCAGGTCGTAATTCGAAACAGAAAGACATTTGCACATCAATATTGCCATATGCCCAGTCGACACTAGCGCCTGCAGCTGGATAAATGGCATCGTAAATATTACCACCTGTATATTTGGTACCGTAACGCTTGGCGAAAGCCGCAACAGTAGCATCATAGACCTCTTTAAAATCTTCGACATTCTCAGGCAATTCATTGGTGTGACCATATGGGTAGAGCACGTATTGAGAGTAGGCATGGAACGATAAATATATGTGGATTTTTCCCTTAAGCGTTTTCAGATATTCCGCTAGAGACTTTGTTTCGATCTCGGAGAATTCAGAAGAACCGGCATAAGTATCAGAGCAAGGATTGCTACTGGCGCCAACCTCATTCCAATGGAAGCCCCAATTGCGGTTGGGATCTGCGCCATAGCAGGTACCATGTGGCTGACGAGTTTTACGCCACATACGATCTGTCGTATGGGTGTAAACATAACCATCGGGATTGGCATGAGGAAACACATACCAATCGTAGTTCTGTGCCAAATCTTGTACGTCAGCATCTGTCGTTGTCAACAGCTGATTAATGATGAACGTAGCGGTGGCCGGTGCAATCCATTCACGTGCATGTATACCGGCTTCCAAAAAGATGCCGGGCTTATTCGCTTGTCCATTATTATAGGAGATTTTCACACCCAAAATCGAACGCTTCTCATAGGTTTTACCACCTTCAATCAGCGTTACCATACTCGGATATGTGCGCGATAAAGTGATTAACCAATTGTAGGTATCATCCAGTGTTTGATATGCGGTCCAATCATAAGTTCCGGCACGTCCTTGAACTTGAGTTTCATTCTCATCTTCCAATTTTTCTTGTAAATTCTCCTCCAATAGCACATAATCGATCTCCTGGGCATCCAAAGCTTTCAAGAAGTCGGGTAATTTATGTGGCGCAACAACAACTTCAATATCACGATCAATAGAGTGCACACCTTCCATGAATATCAATGAGTCACTAGTGTTCTCCATCTGTTTCAAGAAAGCCAACTCCTTGGCATCGGACGCGGTCACTCGATAGACGCGATAGAAATCATAACGCGCACGTTCGGCATTGCTTAAAGCCACTGCCGTTAGGCATAGGGCAAAGAGTAGACTAAATTTAAACGACATTTCGACAAATCGCGTTAGCGAATGTTGCCCTCAGGGCTGGGAGGTGGTATTTATAGGTATGTTTTTAGTGGTATTATCGAGATTAGAAGTAGTGATTGGAGCACTCGAATTGTGATTGAATCATGCTCTTTGGGGAAAAGAAACTCTACACAATTTTTTTTTTTTTTTTTTTTTTTTTTTGCAAGACACCTGATAAGCGTGCGACTGAATACTTTCCAAAGTCGTCATTCAAATGAAAAGTCTCCGCTTATAGTTGTTGCTCTAAATAATTCCCTTAGTCCAAGTAATAAATTTCCTAGCCGAGGTTGTCTTAACTTAAGCGTATATGTATGTATATATAAACTTCCTTATAACCATGCACGTATTTAGTCGATTGTCTTGGTATCGCCTAAAGCGTTTGCTTATCGATTCGTGTGCATGTAATAAAAAACCACTTTGGCGAAATATATTAAAATCTTTGACATATCGATTAAATTTACTACTTGGACAAACAAAATCTCTGCGATATGTAATAATCAGTAAAAGTTTACCTGAATTTTTAATTGGAATATATATTTAAGAATTTCTTATCGATTGCTTTGAAGTATCGTCTTCTTCTTGATGAACTAAGCAAGTTTAACTTCGAAAATACCGTCAGATTACTCAGACGGTTAATGGATTGTGACGACCTAGAAAAAGCAAGTAATCTCAGCAACAATTCATTCGGTGCGTTCAGCGTCAACTGCAAGGGTAAACCGATCAGGCGAAATCTTGTGACGATCTCTCAGCGAAGAAAGTACATCGCAGCGGAGCCCCTCTTTCAGTTTGTGTTAAGCGTCTTGATGTTGCAAATGCAGGGACCTCCCAACAGGCGATAGATTTATGTGTATGCGAGACATTTATTGTATCTCATGTCAGAAATATACCTAAAGGGTTTGACATTCCCTGCTGATGGGCGACAGCAATTAGAAAGACTTATTTTTCTATAATTCCAGATGTGGTTTGAACCAGGACTCGAACTCTGGCCTTGCGAGCAACCATACGCAGTTCTAACTGCTCGGCTATTGAAGCAGTCTGGACACATAAAGATGTATGTATAAAAAATTTATAAGGCAAGTCATCAAAATCACTGGCTTCAAGCAAAACCCAGCTCACAAGACACCACAAGGGTTCAAGGGTTTATAAAATCTGAGCACGGCTCATCGATCAATAACAGTAAGGAAACACTGTAAATGGTACTTGATGCCCACTATCTATTGCTTATGTTAGATGTCGCGTTAACGAAAACTCTTGGTCAGAGTCGATACACGCTATATACAGTCTGTAAAAAAGAGCTTACATTTCCTGGGTGCCAGGTCAATTGGGCATAGAAGGCAATAAAAAAAAAAGCTGACGAACTGACTAAGATGATGTCCATTTGAGGAGAAGACGAAAAGTAAAGCAAAAAGGTATCTTGCTTCGTCGTGCGAATAGATTGTGCAGAAACGAGCTAAAGCGGCCGAATCGTGAAAACCATGTTCAATTCAAGAAGCCGGATTCTAGGACTGTTAACGGCACATTGGCTTTGTCTTTGACATTATTTATTGACATTATCGGTCTCAACAGCAGCGCCGGTACTTCTGCTTTCTCCAGACTTGATAAAGAAGCGAGCTGAATGGGTCTGATAGTGAACGAGGACAAGATGAAATATCTCCTGTTATCAAACAAACAGTCATCACATTCGCGACTTGGCTCCCACGTCACTATTGACAGTCATAATATTAAAATCGTACAGAATTTCGTCTATCTAAGAACCAGCTTTAATACCAATAATAGCTTCAGCCTTGAAATCCAGCGCAGAATCAGTCTAGCCAAGAGGTGCTACTTTGGACTGAGTAGGCAATTGAAAAATAAAGTCCTCTCTCGACGAACGAAAACCAAACTCTTCAAGTCGCTCATTATACCCGTCGTACTATATGGCGCAGAGGCGTGGAGGATGTCAACAGCTGTTGAGTCGTCCCTCGAAGTCTTTGAGAGAAAAGTTTCGCGAACGATTTATTATCCTTCGCGCATTGGTAACGGCGTATACCGCAGACGATGGAATTTGATATAGTTCAGCAGATGAAGATAAAGCAGCTACGCTGGCTAGGTCATGTCGTCCGAATGGATGAAAGCACTCCAGTTTTCAAAGTATTCGATGCAGTCACCGCCGTTGGAAGCAAAGGAAGAGTAAGACCTCCACTCGGTTGGAAGGAACAGGTGGAGAGTGACCTGGCCTCACTTAGTATTTCCAACTGGCGCCAAACAGCGCAAAAAAGGGAAGAAGAAAGAGCCCAAACGGCAACTGAAATTTGGAAAGAGTACAGCATTGTTCTTCACACTAAAGATACTATGAAGAGTGTTTCAGTGCAGCTGGGTCGTACGGTAGTGCGTCTGGCAACATTATCGGTAATAACATTTAAGTGAGACCCAGACCCAGTCAGCCGTTTAGTGGTTTGATTATGAAAAGTAATTCGCCGTAAGCGTTGAAAATAATAAAATATACGGAAATCAAGCCGAAATATGTCCCTCCAGGGCAGTCGCCTAACAAAGTGGATGACGTCGCATTTAATTTCACTTGCCAGAGGGTTCATGACGTTGTGTAGTTTCAGTGCTTCAAAAAAAAAAAGAACCCTCTATATAAACACGAGTAAAGGGATTCCCTTTAAAAACTGACTTTAGGTATTTCTGTGTTTTTTTTTTTGTTTTTTTTTTTCATTTTTAAAGCAATAATAAATTCCCCCTTGAGTATGGTTGTTGGACTTGTTTCACAATCAGTAGTTTACATATATATATTTTATGTACATATGTATGCTATCTGGTCGGGTTTTGTGATGGGCTGGGTGTCTGGGTGACAGCAGCCTACGAGATGCTACGCATTTCACGCTCTAGAGATGCGTTTTCTCCACTGCGCTGGACAGTAGCAACGCGTTCAATGGCCACAGAAATCCAGAAATCACTCATCGGTGGTAGAAAAGCAATTTTTTTTGCATTATTCTTACAAACATAAACATAGATATAGACACACATATGTACGTAAAAGTATGTTTATAATTCAATTGACGTCAAACGTTAAACAACAACAACAACAACAACAACAACAACATCGTCAATGAAAGCTTCACAAGAAATTGCCAATGTTACAAAAGAAGTATTTAGCAAAAACAAAAGTAAAGAAAATATGCATACATATATACGAGTATATACAAATGTCTGTTTGCATATGAGTATAAGAAACAACATTTACATGCATACATACACACTTTGTTTACGCCGACTTATATTTGTATGTGTGTATTGTTGTTTTAATCGTTTTGATTCAATTTATTGGGCATATTTATTTTAATTTTATCATTTTGACATAGCACACATACGCGTATGTATATATATAAATACAAGTATACCTTCTTCGTCTGCTAATGTGATTATAGGCGAATCAAAATAAAATAATAGCCCCCAATTTGTTCCTTCTCTTCACTTTTTGGCAAAAATTAATTTTACCAAGTGAAACCAGTTCGCTCTCCACGTGATCCTTCCAATAGAGTGGAGGTCTTCCTCTGCTTCCACCGGCCGGTACTTTATCGAAAACTTTCATTGCCGCAACATTCCTATCCAGGCAGACCGTATAACCGGCACCAGCGCAGCCGGTGTTTTTTGATTCGCTGAACTCTGTTTATGTCGCCGCATATCTCATACATTCCATTGGCTGCGGGATTCGCCATTCCCAACTCTTGGAGAACCATAAATCTTAGGCAAAACCTTTCTCTCGGAAACTCTTAACGTCGACTCATCAACTGTTGCCATCGTCCATGATTCCACACCATATAGCAGAACGGATATGAGAGCGACTTGTAGAGTTTGGTCTTTGTTCGTCTAGAGAGGACTTTATATTTCTATTGCCTACTCAGTCCAAAATAGCACTTGTTGCGAAGAGTGATTCTGCTTTGCATACCAAGGCCGATATTGTGATTGGCGTCATCATCCTTGTTCACTGCCAAATCAATTCGCTTTGCTTCGTTATCCAGAGCCAACCATGTCGGAAACCACGCTTGGTACCGATCGGCTCGGTGAGATCCTTCAAAAAAATGCGACGGCGCTTCTGGGGTTTTCCAGTGTCAGTTTATACAGCCGAATGCAGCTCCTTACCCTGAGTTCATTTCTTACAGGTCTTTTCAAGATTCGGCGCATGGGTCTATGGGCACATCGATAAGGTTCAATCAGTTGTTAACGGTGCGCTGTAGTATTCTACACAATACACTTGTATGCGATATTTAGTAGGCTAATGGTATGGATATTCGCACAGACCGTTGAGTCCCTGCTTTTATGTATTGGGCAGAGCACGTTTAGGCTGCAACACGTCGGCCATACTTTCATCCAGAATAGCTTTGGGAGCTCCAGCCGCTTTGTCGTCTTTAAAGAGGGTTCGTCATCTCGGGGTGTTGCACTTGCACTGCCATTCAGCAGGCTAGAGAAGTGTTCCTACTGTAAAGTAAACATGCTCTGGACAGGGGTCACCAGATTTCTAATTTCGGTATGAGTATACTCCGGTCTTGACAGCTTCTGTTGCCGCGTCTGAATTTTTGAGCTTTATCCTTGTCGGATAAGTTCACAAGCACTTCACAATCAAGCATTTTGGCGTCTTTCTTCTTTTTTGGTTTGCAACTGCTTCAGAAATGAGGTGTGCTAGTAGAGTAGAAAACCGTTCGGCTGTTTATTGTGATTGTAACTTTTCGATGTCGAAACTTCTTTGTGTCAGTTGACGGGAATTATGTGCTCAACAGAGGCGGATGTGTATCTTAGCTGCAACCAGATAATGATCCGAGTCGCTGTTAGGTTCTCGGACATATGCAAATCTAGAACACTAGAGACATGTCGTCTGTCCATCATATGATCGATCTGGTTTTGAGTTTTTCAATATCGAGAGGGCCAGGTAGTTTGCTGAATTTACTTGTGTTGGAATCTTGTACTACATGCAATTATATTTCAGGCTCCTTAATCCGTTTTGGAATGTTTCGTAGTAGTGAC